AATATCAAATTCAAATAGTTGTATAGCAGGGTGCCGTTGCCTCCTTCTTGTCCGAGTTGAAGCGACCTTCGCTTGTACAAGTAGAGCTATCGTGATCGCTGACAGGCTGCTGAATGTCTCCTGTCAAGTACACTCGTGGATTTGGGGCACATTCACTGCGGCACAGCACGGGTGTATTTGAATATTAGTTTAGTTTACAGCAATATCAAATTCAAATAGTTTTATAGCAGGGTGTCGTTGCCTCCTCCATGATCCATCATCGACCCAGCAACTGCGTGGATGCCTGCAGTTGCAGTGAGGGTGTGGCAGAGTACTCTACTACTCCCTGGTTGCAGTCCTAGTGTTGCATACTCTGGTGGACGTATTGGTTGGAGAGAGTTGGAGATCGTCCGCGATCGGGGCCAATGAGTTGGGAGACGGATTCCCTCACCAATTATCCACTCATAACGATGCAGTATTGTTTGCGAGATCTCCAGAACGTGCAGTTCATTGGCAAAGAAGAACAATATGAAAAATGAATACCAAACGGCAACCAAACAACACCAGAACTCAGTGCAGAAGTAGCACACCAAACTCCAAAGCTGATCACCATGCAGGTTCCGCCAAAGCGGATCCGCGAAAGCGGAGGCTCCGCTCGCATTTTTTTGGCGTAGCGAAATCCAAACCAAGTGTTACTTTCCGCCAAAGCGTAACTTACGCCTCCGCCGTTGCCGAGGCAACGGCGGAAGCGTAAGTTACGCTTTGGCGGAACCGCCAAAAAAAGGGCATGTGTGACCGGGGCCTAACGCGCCGTGCAGCAGCTGACGAGGGATCCGATCTTGCATGCGGGACACGTGGCCAAACCATCGAAGTCGGCGGACTCTGACTTTGTCCGCGATCTCCTCCATATCGCCCCACATCCTGCGAACCTGGAGAGAGGAGATGTGCTCCTCGATCTGCCGGCCACGATTTATCGTAAGGATGGAGCACACGCACTGCAGGCGAAAGGACTCCAGGCGACGGACGGACAAGTCGTCGACTTGGTAGGAATTAGTTCCAAACCAGAGGGTCTCCTGAAATCCAACGACGTTCATGCTGTAGCGCTGCAGTTGCCGGCAAACAAGATCGATTTTTCTCTCCTCGCGGAGTTGTCTTTTTGAATTTTTGAGGCAGTGTTCAAATCGCCGTCCACGTTCACCAAAGTTCTGACGTTCCACGTCCCCATGGACAACACAAATCTCCTTGCTGCTGGTGCACGTTGCGAGCCGCACTCTAAGCGGGGGTTTGCAGAGCCTCCGCGCTCAGGCGGACGAGGTTCAGTACGAGTGGTCAAATCGGAAGTGACCATGGTGTCGACACTGATTTATTTCCTCGCCCGCGACGACAACATGTACGTCGTCTTGTTCAGCGCAACCTATCTAATGCTCCTGTCACCAGGGCTGGCTCTGGCCTTGGCCAGAAGCCAGCCCGTGGCTGAAAACTACTTGCAGAAGACGGAGGAAAAATATCCCCAACCTTCACTCAACTCAACAACTCAGGAACACACACACGCACACGCACACACACAAACACACACAGACTACTACTACTATCAATCACCTACCCCATGGGGTCACGCCGCCCTCCACTCAGAGAACTGAGCGCAAGGTGACGAGCAGTGGCGCAAAACAAAACAGGAAGTACAGCAAAATGAATTGAAAAGAAGGAAATCAAAACAAGCTGCCATATTGATGGAAAATGACTCCCAAACAGAGGAAAAAATATCAAAAAACGAGATGAACAGTCTGCTGTAGGTCCGCTATCTCAGGTCCAAACAACACGACAAATTTACAATTCCAGCGACACACCGCGCAGGAATGAGTTGCTGCGAGTGTGAACTGCTTCCTTTCTCATCCAGGAATCCACTTGCTTTGCCGAGCGCCACTGCATTGTTTCAGGCTGGGGATTGATCCGAGGGCTCGCCACGCCACTGCGGAGGATGCGGAAACGACGCAAGAAGACGGTGACGGCAAAAAAATTACCCGCCCTGGTCGTCAGCTCACAGAATGTCCTTCCGCGCGAGCGAAACCGGCTGCAACGCATGAAAAGCCTACGGCCCAGTCAATACCCAGGACGGCCCTGACAAGAAGGCCAAGGTCGTCCCGTGGAGGATGCCAACAAAGAAAAACCAAGGAGCTAACAAATCGGCTTCCTCTCCGCGAAAATTTACACACACGCACACACACACAACCCCCATCCACACACACAGATGCACAGACACACACAGACACACACACACACACACACGCACACACACACACACACACACACACACACATACACACACACACACACACACACACACACACACACACACACACAAATGCACACTCGCGTCCATAAAATCGGGTTTGCAGCCCGTGCCTTTGCATTTGTGAATTTCAGTAAACGAATACGAATGATAGGGATAATAGGGACATAGTACGGAGGATTAGCAAGACGAAATTCGCGTTCGCGTTCGCTCTCCAAGGAAAGTCGAACTCAGTGACGGAATTCGCGTTATGAGAAGGATTAGCAAACAGAATTCGCACATGCATGATGTTGACACGACGTACATTGTCTACAGACAGTACAGCGTGGTAAATTTATGACTGCCCTGACACGAATCCGCGATTCGTGTTCCGACTACTTTTCCGAACGAAAAATGCGAAAGTTCGCAATGCAGTTCGCGAACCAAAAAATGTTTGCGAACGCGAACGCGAATTTCGTCTTGCTAATCCTCCGTAGTGATGAGATTCGAGTTTCGTGTTGATAAACACTCATCAGAGGATATAAATATTACAGTAATACTATTCGAAACTCGGATGTTGAGCCATAAATAAAATGTAAAAAGGAAAACCCCCTACTCTCCCTGCTGTTTTGTTATTGTATACTCTGTTGTCCTCTTCCCTTCTGACGAGTAGGTTGTGTACTTAGTAAAAAAAAAAAAAGGACATATGGATACGAGTTAAGAGCAACTCTCCATCACTGTAACTGGATACTATATACAGTCAGAAAGTGCAATAACTAGGCACAAAAACTGACAGAGTACTGAGACATACGCCGTCCTGACATCTAGCTTCAACACATCTCCGTAGCGCTAATCGACAGCCTTCCAACTTGGAAGGTTCAAGGTTATGGAAAGACCAAAGAGGGGAAGGCAAGCGCGACGAAAACGAAAAAAAAAGCAACAGTCCAAACGGAAAAAGAATGTCGATTGTTCCTGGACGATGACGAGACCAGTACGATATTTGACAAAGTGGTCGCACTACAATTCCAAGCAGCAAAGCAGCACACCACCCAGTTTGGGTGGGTCATAAATATCAAAGATAAGTAAAGAAAGGGGAAGCTTTGCGAAAATTAATACTATTCGCTAGTTATATAGGGTAATTGTAATGTAGGCTAAGGCAGTGCCGCAACCACGAAGCTTTAGTAGGATCTCGTGTAGTCTTTAGCCGTTCGAATAGGTACGTTCTTGAGCGAATAGTCGATGTCCTATCCGTTTTGGTCGTTCCATTGTATGCAGGTGAGGGGAATGTGCTCAACTGCTAGCAGGAGCCATATAGACAAAGTGCTTTGAGGCCTTGCTGCAAATAGTGCTCAATACCTCAAAATGGGCAGAGCGTACTACATAATTCAGAACAAGACACGTTGTCTATATCGCTCCTGCTAGCAGTTGAGCACTTTCCCCTGAGCTTCATACAATGGACCGACCAAAACGGACGGACATGGCCTATTCGCTCACGAACGTACCCATTCCAACGGCTAAAGACTACACGAGTAGCCTCCTAAAGCATCGTGGTTTGTTTGTTTCTTTTATTTGAATTCGTTTAGTGGTTGCGGCACTGCCTTAGTCTACATTACAATTACCCTATATAACTAGCGAATAGCATTCTTATGTTATGTTTTATCGACTGATGAGTTTAAACTCGCGTACAGAGCCAGTACTAAAATGTAAAAATAGAAGAAACACATGAGAACGAGTTATGCAGCAACTATCCACGACTGTAACAAGATGATAAACGGTCAGAAAGTGCGATAATAGGGCACATACAATGTAACAAGTGGGAAGGCTGTTGGTTTGCGCACTGGAGTTAGAGCTAGGTCTCGGGTCGCTGAATGTCTCAGTAGCCTGTCAGTTTTGTGCCCTATTATCGCACTTTCTGACCGTTTATCATCTTGTTACAGTCGTGGATAGTTGCTGCATAACTCGTTCTCATGTGTTTCTTCTCTTTATTTTATGTCTGATGAGTGTTATCAATACGAAACTCGGAGTTACAAGACATATTTTTGGTCTCTGTTGTTCTGCCTAATATACGTTTGGGATTCTCAATGTTTGTCAATTCGTACATGCAAAACGTACATGTAAGCGGAACATTTGCGGACTACCAGTCAATCTCAGATTCTTTTCCGCCTCCGGATACCTGGTAAAGGCTGATTCACTCGCATCGTCTGCTACATGTACCGTATCAGTGTGAGAAAGAATTAATTTAGCAGGAGACGAGTTCGAGCATACAATAATGTATTGCCATGAAGTTTCTACCTGGTTTTCATTGAAAAACTATCTGCATGACCTTCGAACCCTTTACCATGCAGACCACCACAGGCACCAGCACTGATCAGGTGCATTGTATACAATTGTGTAGCCTACATACTAGAACTGTGGTACAATCATGGAGTCATGCTCCTACATCCGGAAAGGATGGCAAATTATGCTCCAAATTTTCAACCACCAAAATATGCCAATTATTATGCCGGCATAATCGGGCGGTGCCTAGTCTTGAGTCCGTTCTCCTTCCAGACAAGATAATGCTAACGTTTTTGTGGGCCATACGAAACTGAGTCCGACTTCAATTCCGCCTCGTTACAACGATACGAAAATTATTCAAAGACTGTCACAGCCCTTAAGAATGAAGGCGTTTGACATCGCATTTTTTTTTTTTTTTTTTTTTTTACAATGATCACAGCTCACAGGCAAAGACAAAAATTGCATAGTGGGAGCATAGTGATGGTGAGGCTTTTTGCCCTCAGCCGACCTGAGGTCTCGACGTCATAGGGACATAAAACGCACCAAAAAAAGAAGAAAAATGAAAGGAGTGACAGGTACATGATACGAAATGTTAGGAGGAGAGACAGTACATTAGAAGGAGGGGAATGATAAGACAGACAGTGCTAGGAGGAGAAGGAGAGAAAAGAAGAACAGACGTTATTGGGAATAGTATGTGGAGCGGAATTTAGAAGTCATGGGGTGAGGCAGATATGATGCTGATGATCAGAGATGGTCATGTGCCCACGACCAGTCGTTGGTCTTCAAATAGCGGTTGGCTGCAACAATCGCATGCGGGGATGGAGGTGAGTAGTTCAGACGACCGACATGGAGTGACAAAAGTTAGGTGTTCTAAGAGATGTTGAGTTGCATATGCCTTTTAAGGCAAGCTACCAACGAAAGAACATGGGTACATTGTGAAGTTGAGAGCTTGAATGGATCCTGCTGCTACAACTGCATGTTGGAACGCATTAAAACGAGTTGAACATAATTATGTATAAAACTAAATTATTGGAATGTAACATTTGATATGGGTCTAGCACACCAACCATGTAGATGATGTCATGATGCAAAAGTAGAAAAAATGATTTTGCAGCTAAACAAGTCAAAGCTCAAGGTATCAAGATTCTGTATAAAGTCGGCCAACACACGTTGTCCCTTCACGTCAAGCTGATGGTGTGATTACAAAACTAGCATTTCAATGGTACCCATGAGAACTCCGTCATCGCCTCTCCTTGTTTGTCAGTGGGCAGAAGGCACAGTCGATTCGTATCGTGACTGACACACAGAACTACGTCCGTCGAGAATCGCGGATGCAGCGTAAACGTGGCGTTTGAGCCCAGTTTCACCTCGTGGTCATTCTCGCGCTTGATCCACATCAACTCGGGCTTCGCAAGGGCGGCTCGATACGTCGTCGCGCCCGGCGGGCCTTCGAGGGGTCGCATGAAGGTCTGCGCTATCAGACCAGACTCGTCGACCACGAACTCGATCCCGAGGTAGTACTGGCGTTCGGTGATAAGTGAATACGTCTGAATACAGACCAGCTGCTCTTGCTCGGTGGTCACTTGGTCCGTGACATCTTTCCCGTACATACTGAAGGAGGCTTTGCCACTGTCGAAAGCTGGACATTCAGAAAAGGAAATAGAAGAAACGCCGAAGAGCCGTCATGGAAACATGGACACAGGGTGCAACCTTCCGCCTAATGGTCTGGACTAGTTTCTAGGAAGATGATCCGTGATAAAGCCGTATACTGTTCACAGATATACTTCGAAGAAAAACCGGAGGCCTCTATTATGTTAGGTTTTACGATACATTGTAAGTAGAACGGAGTGTGCCTCGACTACAGATTCTAAGTATTCTCCTGCAATTAGTAATTCGTTCTTATATATCGTGAGTGAACCAGTTCTTATCGCAGTATGCTACACACTTCTTGTTGTTCAAATAGGAGAACCCAAGGTTTATAGAAATATCTAGAGATGGCAATATCGACTGAAACGTTCGGCTACTACCACATGTTTTCATTGGCTGTGTGGATTTGCAGTGTAAATACGAGCTGTCCAGCGTTCCTCTTTACCTTTCTTGCCTATAGTCGTAGTACTTGAAGTATGATCAACACATATTCAATAGCGTCCCTATGGACATGTAAGCACTGTCTTTGCTAATACTTGAAAATTGATCTTTGATTGGTGGTTGCACCGGAGATTTTCCTTGAGCATTTTACCAATTTATCATACAATGTAAAGGCCCATAAAGTCTGTTGGCTTCCAAAATGATGTGATTACAACAGCAGGTGGCCATACCGCAAGGCTTCTTTCAAGGATAACACTGCAAAACAAATACCCCCGTGCCGAAAGGCGTGCGAACGCACCTATTAGGCTACTTCCCCATGTCAATCACCAAGACGAAAAAGAAGTCTAGTAACCGAAAAACTAAACACAATTAAATAAACTACCTACCCATTCCTGCATGTAGCGTCTTGCCTCCCTGGCCGTTGTCTAATGCCATGAGACACATCTTGTTGTTAATGGCTGGGTTGAAGATCTGCAGGAAGTGAGGCGAAGAGCCGAACGGGTCCCGGCTGCTCCATCTATAACACGCACCGTCGGGAAATGCTCTGGCCACGGCCGGTGAGTGAGCGGGACTTGCTTGCCCTGATCCAGGCATGTCGGTTCTGCAGTCTTGCTAACGAGGAGTATTCGGAGTAGAACCACCCGCCTCAAGGCAGACACAACAACTCTGTTCAAAAGGATAAAATGATATCAGGATGAGCGTCAACAAGTCGCTGTTTTTTTAATTCAAGTTGTTGCCCTGAACCTCTCTTAGAAGACTACAGGAAAGACTTGTTAGTCGCCAAATTTATACAAGCTGAGTGTGGTCTCGAGGTTCGTTTTTCGGGGAACATCTGCCCTGCATTTCATTGCAGTGGCGTAACATGAAGCAAGTGCCGGCAGTATAATATACCCACACAGCACCTGCATTCGCTGGCCTAATATTGCCCGTTGCGCGCGATGTGTGCCCATTTAGCACCACTGTTCGATGTTCCGGCGAACTGATTCAATCCGGGACACATTGGTATTGCTCGATTGAAGCCACCAGCGCACGTCACCAAGCAAGCTATTCTAGGGTTTCCGCTAGAGGTGATGTGATGCGGAACGTGCCAGAGGGGAGTCCTGGAACACCACACTATGCATGCACGCTAATGACACCCTTGGAAGTGCGTGTACCGTATTTTCCCGCTATCCCGATGCACAAGTATCCTTATGCGTGGTCCAGTCCCCGATATTTACCAACACGTCGATACCGTGGCAGAAGACCACCGAAACGCAAGGGAACAGAGAGAGGAGTGTTGGTGGTAGGTGGTGAACAAAGGTATCGCTTGTTTCAGCTGAAATCGCAATTCGGAAGTCGATTGAGCATAACCAAAACGAGCTTAGACCCTTCTTAGAGTTTCTAACTAAAGGTACGCATATCAATTGTTTGGGTGAAGGTTGTCGCACAGGCGGATTCGCACAGTATATGAACCGATTACGGGGCATAGGAATTGTAGAAACTGAGTGAAAATGTTGAGAAGTAATAATGTTAGGGAAGGACGAAGGCAAGAAGCAGAGACAGATAAAAAAAAAAAAACGAAATAAAAAAATAGAGGGAAAGAGAGGGAAAAGGAGATAATTAGAGAAGAATAGAGAGAGCGAGGAGAGAGAGAGTGTGTTCGTATGAGTGTGTGTGTCTGCGTCTGTGTCTGTGTGTGACACACACAGATACATATAGATGGATAGAGATAGATAGAAAGAGAAGGAGTGAGAGAGACATAGAGAGATAGTGAGATAGATAGACAGATAGCCTGATGAATAGATAGACTGATAGATAGATAAAATGATAGATAGAGAGAGAGAGAAAGAGAAAGATATAAGTGTGCGACTTCCTGTGTGTAATGTTCTCGCCCACGCCGACAGATTTCTGTAGCAACCGGAACTATTGTTTACCAATCTATCCCGCCTAACAATATGGGCAAATATTGATGCTGTTTTTCATTATTCCTCGCGGTTTGGGTTTCACACCATTCCAACAGCACCTTGATAATACCCATGCTCCCCTCTTCTTACTAGGAAAATGTACAGGAAGCTGGAAATTAAAGAATGTAAACAAATTATTTTAAGATGCCTTACATGCCATGCAAATCCCACAACTAAAATGTAATGAATACGATACAAGTCCGCAGGAAATGTTGAGTTATAGCGGCTGGGATGAAGACTGCACCATAGCTTAGTGGTAGTCCGTCGCTGCCCAAAAGCCAAGGACCCTGGTTTGGACATTAGTGTTAACAGTACAGCAAAACCTGTCAAAGCGACCACTCGGAAAAGGCGACCACTCGGAAAAGGCGACCACCTGTCCTAGAAAACCACAGAAACCAGGAGCAAGGGATTTCCAGTCAAAAGACCCTGGTTAAGGAGACCACCTGTTATGAGAGACCACCTTGCGAATATCCCTTGAGGTATCGTCTTAGACAGGTTTCACTGCAATTTGTTTCTTCAGACTTTTCTCGTTGAAACCTATGAAAGCTATAATTGTTGTACAGTGCTAGGGTGTACGCAGCGCTACAGTCTTCAATTGCGGCTGGCTTACTCCGTTGCGTATTCGGAAGTTAAATCCGCCCACCAAGTGTCGAAAGCTAAATGCACATAGTGGTATAGTTGTATGTGCGGGAATTCATAGAGTCAAGTTAGCAAGAGTTGAGTATTATTCCATTTGGAGCAACTTATGGTGAATCAGAAAACCACAGCTGCGTGGTCGTCTTTCAGCGGATCCGAGGTGCATGCGCGCAGAGGATCGTGTTGCTGTGAATGTACATTGCAGTCACACTCGTTTTCACCACAGAAAAAAAGAACACAATAATGCTGTTACACAAGAAGTGCGGAGGCCGTGCGGGAGAGAAATACAAGGTGTAGGACCAGCGAAGTCTATTGACGTCTAAACCGACCACTTCCACCCAGGAAAGTTCAAAAAGAACCATCACACCTGCGTTCGCAATGTACCGGTAGTAGTGATCCAAACAATAGACCACGTCCACTCAGGAAATGCTAACACATGTATACCCATCACACCTGTTTTCACCGATCCAGTGAAGTTTGCCTCGTACTATACACTTTAGGATTGGGAAAAAATCTGATCGATGCGTCAGAGTCATGGAAGGGCGAATCTAATATCAAACAGTTTGAAAGGTGTCCAGCAATGAGAACAGTTTTGTTTTGTTTTCTTTATCCGCGATGTCGAATAGATGCGTGCTGTGTGTTTGCTTGATCTGAATACAATGATGTTATTCTCAATATCCTAGAGGGTGGTGGCGTTCCCACGGCGGATGCGGAAAACTCGGCTTGCAGCCGAGTCTCACGCGAACCGTGAAATTTTTTTTTATATTTTTTTTATTCTCAATATAGTGCAATATCTACGGAAAATATAACTCGGATGCTGAGCCAAAAAACGGAAAATATAACTAACAACTAACCACGACTGCAACAAGATAATAATCAGTCAGAAAGTGCAATTATTAGGGCACAAAACTGACATTTTACTGAGACATTCAACGACCTGAGACCAAGCGCTCACACCTCCAGTGCGCAAACCAACAGCCTTCCAGCTCGGGGGGTTCAAGGTTATGGTAGGGCCAATGAGGGGAAGGTGAGCACAGCGCAAATATGCCCATGCAAAAATTCTTTAAAATACTGACCAAAAACAAAACTATAACACTGAATAGCAACATAAACTTCAGGCTCTTCAACATCATGATTTTCACCAGGACATTTTCATGCCTTCTCTTCAGGTGATATCCTGGAAAGAAAAATGAAAGTCTACTCGTAAAAATCATTTTGTTGAAGAGCCTGAAGCTTGTACCACTATTGTGTGATATTGTATTATCTGAGGTGTTTATTCGAGAGGTTGACTTTCATGTTTCCATGCTGAAAGTGCAGTTCAGACGGACAAAATGACACAAAATGGTGTACCAGGGAGTCAGAATTGTTTTCTTTTCTGTAAATTGGCGATATCCATTGCGGTAATATCAGGAACGTCTATCCGGAACACACTAAAAAGATGCCTTCAACACGATGACTTACACAATGCGATGATGTCCATGTCAGAACAGGAGCACACGCTTCAGGCACTTCAGCATTGAGACATTTTTACAGCAGTACATTTCGTGCCCAAAATGTTGCCGGTATTGAGAAGGTCTTTTTGCTTGATTTTAAATAGAAAGAGCATTGATAGATCGGGTCCGGTTTTTGGCCAGTTAATTTGCTGTACTTGTTCCTTTTTCCTCTTGCCCGCATATCACCTAGAAAGAAAGCACGAAAGCTTACTTGTGAACAACTTGATAATGTCACTGGAGAAACTGAAGTGGCTGCTCCTACTAAGTTTTATAACATTACTTTTCTCCTAGTAAAACTTGTTGCTTTTGCGTTGTATATTCTAACGATGCATATTGGCTATTATGAAGAAAGGAAAAGGACAAAATGTTAAGAGTCATGACAAACTGTCCACCAACGTAACCAGACCTTATACAGTCAGCTAAATTGGCTCACCATCCGACTTAACCTTTGCACACCTGATGAGCCGTCATGACCTGTACGGCCAAACGTATGTCGTGTGGAAATACTTGTTATTTTTACATAACTAGTCCATCATACATGATAGTGGAGTTCAGTAGGATGTTGGCGTTTCGGTTTGTCACAATTCGTCTTCGCTTAGCTTCCCCTTCTATGTTTATTACGTAAACTTGAGCCTCCCAAGTTGGGTGGTCTGTTGCTTTGCGTCGTCGAGTTGTAGTAAGGCCGGTCTGTCCAACAGTTGTACCAGTTTCGTCATCATCCAGTAACTTTCGGCATTCTTTGGTGCCCTGATGCGTAGCTCGTGCACTTCTTCGTTGCGCTTTCCTTCCCCTCTTGGACGTTTCCGAACCTGAGCCTTCCAAGTTGGAAGGTTGTTAGTTTGCGCCTTGGAGAAGTGTCGGAGCTAGGTGTCAGGTCGCCGAATGTCTCAGAACTCCTTGTCAGTTTTGTGCCATTTTGTCGCACTCGCTGACTGTATAAGATCTGGTTACGTTGGTGGACAGTTTGTCATAACTCCTAACATTTTGTCCTTTTCCTTTCTTCAGAATAACTATATTGGCTTACCATTCGAGTTAAACTATGCACATTAATTTTTGTCTACACTAATTTTGGTTTTAGCACAAACTCATGTGTCGCACACAGAGAATATAAAAAGGGTTTTTGCTACTTTTCAGCACCGTACGCATATCTTAGATGACTGTGGTTTTCGTAGTATTCCACGATTGCGACATGAATTTCATCTCTACACAAGCCGAAATACATCCGTTTTATGAATCACTAAGTCTCTCTAGTTGTTCAGGATCCAGCCACAGGGAAAGACAGGGCGAGGAGTTGACAGCAATGAATGTGTAAAAACAGGACAATTCCTTTCATCGGGAATGCGTGAGCCTTGCGTAAGGAGATGATTAGAGTGTGTGCTGGGAGGGGTGGGGGGTGGGGGGGGGGGGGGGTGGCGTTGCAATGGGCTGCTACTCATCCAATACGCCTGTATCAAGGAAATATGCAAGAAATGACGTAAACAGTATTCTTCAATGAGAGCAATTCGTGCACAAACAGGAGTCAAATTGCGGGGCCAAGACCCAGAGATGCTGGGGGGCACTCCGTCGCAAACGTCATTTCCATAATCGGAAGGAAAATCGTGGTCCTGTGCCTGAAAGGAAGAAGAGGACGTAGCTCTGTGAACTGCAGTTGCACACTCAACCTGTATTCAATTTAATACTTCAGATGTGCG